AGTTTACGCCTCTTGATGTAATCCCCCGTGGATTTCAAGGTGTGTTTAGGATCATTATCCATTTGTAGAAGCCATCCTCTCTTTAACTTCAGCTTTTTCACTGATGGCATCAAGTTACCATCCAAAATTTGCTGAAATTTTATTGAATCCATTTTTCCTTCTACTCGTGAGATGTTCCCTGTGCCACTGGCTGCAACACAACCCCAAAGCATGATTGAGCCAACCCCATGCTTAACAGTTGGACAGAGGTTCTTTTCATTAAATTCTGTGCCCCTTCTTCTCCAAACGTACCTTTGCTCATTCCGGCCAAAAAGTTCAATTTTAACCTCATCGGTCCACAGAACTTGTTTCCAAAATGCATCAGGCTTGTCTATATGTTCATTTGCAAAGTTCAAATGATGATTTTTGTGGTGAGGACGTAGAAGAGGTTTTCTTCTGATGACTCTTCCATGAAGACCATATTTGTACAAGTATCTCTTTATAGTGGAATAGTGTACCACAACTCCAGTGTCTGATGATCTGCCACGTGGGTTTTTCTCACAATCCTGTGAATTACTTACCAGATCTTGAACTGATGACTGGATTATTGAGGATATTGACATCTGAAAACGCTTTGCTATCTTCTTATAGCCTTCTCCAGCTTTGTGAGCGTCAACTATTTTCAGTTTCAGTTTTCTAGACAACTGCTTAGAAGAACCCATGGTGCTGATTGTTGGGGCAAGGTCAGATGAGTCTGGGCATTTAAAACCTTTGAGATTGACATCACCTGGTCTTCCCAGATGATGATTGAGAACAATCCATGACACTGGCAGGTCTCAGCTTGGCAAAGGGGGCAGTGCATGCTATAAATTCTGCAGGGTGCCCAAACTTTTGCAGACGCCATTTTTTTGTTTTCTGTTATTTTGAAAGTGTAAATGATGGAAATAAAATCTAACTTTTGTTGACATATTATAAGAATGTCTAATCTGTAATTTGATGCCTTTTGGAGATTTTTCCATCTTTCCTTGGCTTCTTTATGCACATTAATACAAATTTTTAGCTGGGGTGCCCAAACTTTTCGATCCCCACTGTGTGTGTGTGTGTGTGTGTGTGTGTGTGTGTGTGTGTATATATATATATATATATATATATATATATATATATATATATATATACATACACACTGTATACACACACTATATTGCCAAAAGCATTGGGACGCCTGCCTTTACACGCACATGAACTTTAATGGCATCCCAGTCTTGGTCTGTAGGTTTCAATGTTGAGTTGCCCACCCTTTGCACCTATAACAGCTTCAACTCTTCTGGGAAGGCTGTGCACAAGGTTTAGGAGTGTGTCCATGGGAATGTTTGACCATTCTTCCAGAAGCGCATTTGTGAAGTCAGGCACTGATGTCAGATGAGAAGGCCTGGCTCACAGTTTCCGGTCTAATTCATCCCAACGGTGTTCTATTGGGTTGAGGTCAGGACTGTGCAGGTCAGATGAGTCTGGGCATTTAAAACCTTTGAGATTGACATCACCTGGTCTTCCCAGACGATGATTGAGAACAATCCATGACACTGGCAGGTCTCAGTTTGGCAAACGGGGCAGTGCATGCTATAAATTCTGCAGGGTGCCCAAACTTTTGCAGACGCCATTTTTTTGTTTTCTGTTATTTTGAAAGTGTAAATGATGGAAATAAAATCTAACTTTTGTTGACATATTATAAGAATGTCTAATCTGTAATTTGATGCCTTTTGGAGATTTTTCCATCTTTCCTTGGCTTCATTATGCACATTAATACAAATTTTTAGCTGGGGTGCCCAAACTTTCGATCCCCACTGTACCCTTTTAAGGCTGAAATGGACTTCCTGATCACATACCTATTGTGACTGGCTGTCATTGGTCACATGTTTAGGAGCTGATCATAACAAGAGACTGTTGTCTATGACAACTCGGTCACTGTGCTAGGAGCACGGTCTCGGCACAGAAATCTTGTCCATCCATGGATGCATATGTGAAGCATGTTGGTGTTAAAGTCCACCCTTTTGCTGCCACATCTGCGTTTACATGGGCAGCAAGAGGTTAAAGCTCTATATATGTCATGGAAGATTAAAGACGTCACCCACATTACATTCTCCCCCCCCCAAAAAAAAACCTGAAGGGTCATCTCCCGCCCTTACTCTATCCCAAAAAAAAGTGTTACAATTTAAATGAGTTTCCGGCTTTTGCATGTGGTTTTGACCATTATAGCAAACTAAATCAGCATCAAGTGGCTCCCACCATAATGTCCACAATATAGACAGCTAACTCCTACTGTGCCCTCCTTTTTTTAGTGTTGACAGGTCCAGGATCTTGTCTGCACATTGTTATATACCTTTACATATTTCTGCAGGCTTTTGCATAAGGACGAGGATACTTTGCATACATTGCAATACACATTAAAGCTGGCTAACTACATAGTTACATAGTTAGTCTTGCTGAAAAAAGACAAAAGTCCATCCAGTTCAACTATAGAAAAAAAAAAAAAGTTATAATCCTATACCCACAGTTGATCCAGAGGAAGACAAAAAACCCTCAGCAAAGCATGATCCAATTTGCTCCTGCTGGGAAAAAAATTCCTTCCTGATCCCCCAAGAGACATCAGAGTGATTCCTCTCTCTCCTTTTACCAGCTCATGTGGATTTTAGCACAGACTTCTTTCCATTTCTGTTGCATAGTGCAGGTTAGTGACCAGATCTGTAACTCTCCTTTAACTGTTTTTCTGCCCCATATTGGCACTTTATGTCCATTAAAGTATGCTATAAGCAACTAGAAAAGTAGGAACTGGCCAGAGTGGGATCGTAAATACATATGCCATTTGGATTGAGCACAAACTTCTCGCTATTTCTTCTGCTTATGCTGATGCCACCTCCAACACTGTTACATCCAGATCCCACAGCACTTCTTTTCATCCATTGGATGGCCACTGATGATATAACGTACAGGAGTTGCATTGTCCCTAGCATAAGTGCCTTGCAGGTTTCACAAAGGAGAAAAAACACCAGGGGCCAGGGAAGAGTTGTTTTTTGTTTTTTTTTTTTTTGGCAAAAAAATTTGCATGTCTTCTGCCAAAAACTCTTCTACATAGAGATAGATAGATAGGTATATGATATAAAAAGTCTACACACCCCTGTTAAAATGTCCGGTTTCTGTGATGTAAAAAAAAAATGGGACCAAGATAAATCATTTCAGAACTTTTTCCACCTTTTAATCTAGCCTATAAACTGTACAACTCAGTTGAACAACAAATTGATATCTTTTAGATGGAGGGAAGTAAAAAATTAAAATAATATGGTTGCACAACCTTAAACTAATACTTTGTTGAAGCACCTTTTGATTTGGAGGGGTGTCCCAGTACTTTTGGCAATTGTGTGTGTGTTATTTTTGGGGGGGGGACTTCATTGACCAATAAGGCCCCTTTCACATGATCAGATCCACCTGTCAGTTTTTTCTGTGGACAGGCAGGTGTAAACTGATTTGTGTCCATTGCACCCACCTACATATGGGTCAGATTCAGTCTTCTAACAAAATTTAGGTAGATCGGATCGGCACGTAGTTGGTTATAAATTGACAACGGAGTTTGTTTACAAAAAGCCACCCATAGAGCAGAGTGGGCTCTATACTCAGAAACTTAGTGGACACAAATGTGTCTTTCACCTGTTCTGATCCGATCAGCAGGGGAGCTCTGAACTGATCCCCTGCTGATTGGCACAGAATCCACCCCATGTGAGAGGGCCTAGGGAAGAGTAAAAGTGTTTTGCAGTCCTAATACATTTTTTTTTTTTTTTTTTTTTTTTCTTCGTCAGATGGCAACTGCTGCTCCATAGATGCAAAATGTTGTCACCTTAGCACAGGAAGTATGTTACTGGCTTTTTAAGCTTTGGTTCACACCAGTAGGACTTGTAATTTGATTGAAACTGTCAAATTACATGACAACTCGCACCCTTCTGTCTGCAATGGAACTGTTTCAAATTTGGTACAAGTCGGGGTTGCACCAATTTTCAAAGTAGTTCCTGCACTACATTTTGCGATTTCAGATGTGACTTGCATAGACATCAGAGATCAAACTTGGATCCATGTGAAGTAGGGCTAAAGTGCATTTAAAGACCAGTTTTTTTGTTACAACCTGATACCTTCCATATCCCCAGAAGGAAGAAAAATTTGGCTATGCATACTGTCACTGTCCTGATATTCCAGGTACTATTTTTCATTATTTGAAAATTGTCTTCTTTTTTTTACTTGTATTTATATAAACAATTCAAAGATGACAGTAAACATGTTTGAATTCCACTGATTTGACCCTCCCTTATTAGCAAGTAATTCTGTGTTGTTTTTTCCAAGTGAAAGCAATTGGCAGTAGTTGTCGTTCTGTGTTTTCAAAAATTAACCTGCATAGACTGGTTTATTCTGCCTATTTTTTGCTCAATGTGTCATCTCAGATAAAACTTGGTTATGTTAGTCAACCAATTACTTTTTTTATATCTTTTGCGAACCCTAAGGATATCGCTTTCCTTGTCTAATTACCATAAATTGACGATAAAATGACAACTTCCAGAGAGTTAGACCACCCCGTAATGGCTATAGCATCTTGGAAATTCTGAGAACTTGAACCTAGAAATCTGGCGGGTGGCATTCCTGAGTGATGCAAGAAGCTGGTCAGTGATTCAACTCACGCAGCATCTACCCAAAGATGAAAACACACTTATGGAAAGCATATTATTTTAAAGGGAATAATTTTTATTACCAAAAAAAACACTTAGAAACCATAGATGACAACCGGAAATTTAAAACTCAAAATCTGTTCATAAGTTCTGTTGCAACCGTAAAATTCTATTGCGTGTTTGAGTTGGGCAATGACTGCTTTCCTTATACACCTCTGTGACAGGTGCTCTATCTGTTTTTGATTTCCTTTTATTTTCTGTGCAAGAAAAAGTTTGTCTTCTAATAAAAAGTTTGTTTGTTTTTCTCCTTTTTTTTAGTGTTATCACCAAGCTCTTTGCGTGTTGATAGTCCTACTTCACTCGAGAATGTTAAGGAAGTGGTGGCCATCAAAGATTATTGTCCCAGCAACTTCACCACCCTGAAATTTTCCAAGGGAGAACATCTGTATGTGCTGGACACATCTGGCGGAGAATGGTGGTATGCACACAATACTACAGAAATGGGTTACATACCATCTGCATATGTGCAACCTGTCAATTACAGAGACTCTTGTCTGAGTGACAGCGGTATGATAGATGGACTACTGGAAAGTGTTGATGAAGGAGTAAAGGAGATGGATCTATTGGGTGACTGGACAGATTTTCTCAATCATAACTCTGTTAAAACCAATAACAACCCTTTTTTAAAGCCAGCTGTGTCAAATCCCTTTCTCAATGGGCCTTCCATACCCCAAAAGAAGAATGGTGACGATTCAGTAAATTCTGTTGACTTATTACTATTTGACCCATTGGCTCCCTCTTCTGCTATCTCTACAGAAACAAGTACCGATGTGTTCTTAGATTTGTTACCCCGTGCCAATCAAACAAATGTTGTTGAAGAGCCCATCCCTGTCAGAAGAGACAACCCATTCTTCCGGAGCAAGCGATCCTACAGCCTCTCCGAGCTGTCCATCCTCCAGGCAAAGTCTGAGAGTCCAGCCACTGGCAGCTTCTTTGCTGGTCTCAAGTCCCCAGCTCCTGAGCAGTTCCAGAGTAGGGAGGATTTCAGAACCGCATGGCTCAACCACCGCAAGCTGGCCCGGTCCTGCCATGATCTAGACTTGTTGGGCCAGAATCCTGGCTGGGGTCAGACTCAGCCTGTGGAGACGAGCATTGTCTGCAGGCTGGACAGCTCAGGGGGTGCCGTGCAGCTTCCGGATACAAACATTAGTATACATGTTCCTGAAAGACATGTAGCTCCAGGTGAGACACAGCAAATCTCCTTAAAAGCTTTGTTAGATCCACCATTAGAACTGAACAATGACAAGTGTACCACTGTAAGCCCTGTGCTGGAAATCAAACTGAGCAACATGGAAGTGCAAAGTTCACTTAGCCTAGAGGTAAAAGCATCTGTGGAGGTGCGCAATAATGTTGTTGGTCAAAATTCTGTAGCAATTAAATGTTTGCGTAGTGATATTAAAGAAGGTCCATACAACTTGCTGCCACATTCCTACACATATGGAGACACAATTCAAGTAAAGCTGGAAAATCTTGAGCCAGTTATGTATATAGTGATGGTGGCTCAAGCACAAAATATTGTGCCTCCTTGCAACGTCTGGGACTATATTAATAAAAGGGTCACTGTTGGACTATATGGGCCTAAACATATTCATCCTTTATTCAAGGCTGTTGTGGCCATTTTCGGTCATGACTGTGCACCTAAGACACTTCTAGTCAATGAAGTAGGCCAACAGACTCGTGGGACAGCACCAGTGACTTTACAGCTGTGGGGTAAACAACAGTTTGTTCTTCCCAAGCCTCAGGATCTCCAGATTTGTCTTTTCTCCAACATGACAAATTATAGAGTAGATGCTGGAGATCAGGGGAAGATGGTAAGAGGTTTTCAACTAAAGCTTGGAAAAATTAGCAGGTTAATATTTCCCATTAGTTGCCATGATCCTGCACAACTTTCTGACTTCACACTGAGGGTGCAGGTTAGGGATGAATTGGGTAACATCTTGTCACAATACTGTGTACAGACTCCACGGCCAGCACCAAAAACTGGGCTTAAATCCACTGGACCAAGAAGATTTCTCAAGAAAAAAGAAATTGGAAAGATTGTTTTGTCTCCCCTGGCGGTCACATGCAAATATCCAATTTTCCAGGATCGATCAGTAACAAACCTGAAATATGGGAAGCTAATAAAGACTGTGGTGCGTCAGAGCAAAAATCCATATTTGCTGGAGTACAAGAAAGGAGATGTGATGGGCTCTCTTAAGTGAGGAAAAAATCAAGCTTAAGGGACAATTGTGGACAAAAGAATGGTACATTGGGTATCATCAGGGAAAAATGGGCTTGGTTCATGCAAAAAATGTCCTAGTAGTAGGCAAGGCAAAACCAAGCTATTTTTCTGGTCCTGAGTTGACCACAGGCGCCTTACTAGAGCAGATCTTGCGTCCGTGCAAATTCTTAACTTACATATATGCATCAGTGCGAACTCTTTTAATGGAGAACATTGGTAGCTGGAGGTCCTTTGCCGATGCACTTGGTTATGGAAACCTTCCTCTTTCCTACTTCTGTCGTGTGGAACTAGAAAGCGAGCCTGAACGAGTGGCTTCTGTGCTGGAGAAACTGAAAGAGGAGTGCAATAACAATGAGGGAAAGGAAAGGAAATCATTCCAAAAAGAGCTGATTTCGGTAAGATGAGCTACATGCTGTACTAGTTAGACTTGTTTTTTGTTTACCAAGTAATGATCTATACAAATTAATAATAATCTAGCACTGGTTTAGTTTCTTTGCAATTTACACTGTAAAATATCTGATCTCCACAGGACCGGGGTGAAAATGTATGTTAGTGGTTGTATTAACATCCCTGGCGGTTTGATTATTTCAGATTTTTGGTGCTGAAAGCGGTACCATTTTTTTGCATGGAAATATGTATTTTTTTTATTGTAGGCCTGTAGTTTAGGAATAACTCACTGAAATCTGTCCAAACAAGAGTCTAGTAAACATTTCAGATATGATAAAACTTGAAACACAAAATCATAAATTATAATTTAATAAATAATCATAAAAAAAATAATATAATAATAAATTTAATTAAATAATATAATCAAACCAAAAACACTGAAATTTGAAATATAGCACCAAGTTCGCACATCGCTGAGCAAAGTCGCAGAATCGTTTTCAGTGTCTGATGACGAATTTCCCCACAAATCATCACTCAATTTTGCAAGTGGTTCTGATTTACTATTGCTGTTCTCTAGCTGGTCTAAAACCGATTTTGACATAAAGGGACGCTTTTTGGACGCCATCGACTTTTCTAAGTTTCCAGGCAGAAAGAACAGTCAAAATGCAGGCAGGGGACAGGACAAAGCAGTAGGGACAAAATGTATGTGAAATGTTTTGAAACAGCAATGTTTTACTATGTAATAATCATTTTAAAAAAAAAATGACTTTTTTTAAAATTTCAAATTTGCCGCTGGTTCCGGCGCCCGTACGTCCCGACGTCACAGGGACCGGAACACGGAAGCCGGATGCCGGCATCGGCCGGAGGAGATGGCCGTGGACGCTGCAGGGGACACATCGCGGGAGCGAAGGACAAGGTAAGCTCTGCAGGGACTCCCTATGCAACGCTGCATGGTAAGCCCGAGTGTAGCTCGGGGTTACCGCTTTTGGTACTGAAACTTTACCCCGAGCTACACTCGGGAATACCGCCAGGGAGGTTAAAAAAGGTTTTAGTGGTGCAAGCAAACTTTGTGCATATGCTGCAGTATGTTTTAATTATATTGATTTGGTAAGTGTCCATTCATACTGTTTGCTTGGCTGCTCTGGGCAGCCTTGCCCAGCACAGCCTTAATGCATAGACAAAGCAATTCGCTTTGTTTTCTATGAAGTCAGTTCACACCACCGCGTTACAGTAGTGTGCACTGAAAAAATTACTGCTTGCACTTTTTTCAGCACAGTGTGTTGCAGTGCAAACTACCACATCTCAATGGCACTGCAATGAATAGAAATGAATGGTCACTTGTGTCAACCTTGGGCAGAGGTACCCACTTCCATGATATAGATCTATATATATATTTATATATTAGTCATTTTTTGAGTGCACTGACGTTCTGGTACAATGAACCAGCCCTGGCCTGCTACCCTCCCGGTAATACTAGCAACAGAGGCAGTTTGGGTTTTATATACTTCTAGGATCATTCGGCATCTTTTTATACTTATCATTTTAAGGGTTTTCCAAAGTTACGGTTTTTCATTTGGAGTATATAAACATATTTAGTTGTCCACAGCCCTATATAGCTGGCTATATGTATGTGTACGTGTGTGTGCGTGTGTACGTGTGTGTGCGTGTGTGTGTGTGTGTGTGTGTGTGTGTGTGTGTGTGTGTGTGTGTGTGTGTATTTTTAAATACAGGTTCCTCCATCCATGCTATACAGCAGGCATCACTAAATGGCAGACTGTCATCCGAATTCAGACCAAGCCACTGTTCCATCCGGACCTGCGGCCTCTCCATTTAGAAGCTGCTTCTTTCCACCAGCCTCTGCTGATGTTGTAACAGTAGAGTGAAGATTGGGAAATAGAACCTTTCTGGATCAAGTGCGGGAGTCGCAGCACAGCATTGAATGGAGTGGGGGAGCAGGAGCTGCTGGGGCTAACTTTTTAAGTGAACCAGCAGGTGATTGGATGCAGGGCGTTAACAAAAAGGTAACCCCGGCAGCTCCTGCACTCCGGTCAGTGTTGTGTTGTGACTGCCACACTCAGTCCAGAATGTTCTATCTCTCACTCTCTGCTCAGCCTAAGGTAGGGGGGTGAATGGGGGGCAGACACTACTCTGGCTGTGTGTGTGTTGGGGTGGGGTGGGGTGGCAGTGCTCTTTTGGAGGGAGGGACAGTTTCATGAGGACAGAGCACACGACTGTGTGATGTAAAAGGGGAAGGGGGGGGAGGAATGTGAAGAGGGGCTGTGCTGGGGGGGTGATGTAAAGGGAAGGGGTAGTGCTGTGGGGAGGGGAGATGTGAAAGGGGGCAGTGCTGGTGAGAGGATGATGTGAGGAGGGCAGAGCATTCTACTACTGTGGGCAGGGGGAAATTGTGATGTGAGGGGAGGGGGTAGTGCTGTAAGGGGGGGGGGAATGGGGGTGCATAATGTTATAGAGCAGTGGTTCTCAACCTTTCTAATGCCGCGACCCCTTAATACAGTTCCTCATGTTGTGGTGACCCCCAACCATAAAATTATTTTCATTGCTACTTCATAACTGTAATTTTGCAGTGGGAGGAGTATGCCATGTCATTGGTGTCAGTGGAAGGAGTAGTGCCCCATCACTGATGTCAGTGGGATGAATAGTGCCCCATTGTTGGTATCAGTGGGAGGAATAGTGCCCCATCGTTGGTATCAGTGGGAGGAATAGTGCCCCATCACTGATGTCAGTGGGGATGAATAGTGCCCCATCATTCGTATCAGTGGGATGCATAGTGCCCCATCGTTGGTATCAGTGGGAGGAATAGTGCCCCATCGTTGGTGTCAGTGGGAGGAATAGTGCCCCATCACTGGGTGTCAGTGGGAGGAATAGTGCCCCCATCACTGGTGTCAGTGGGAGGAATAGTGCCCCATCACTGGTGTCAGTGGGAGGAATAGTGCCCCATCACTGGTGTCAGTGGGAAGAATAGTGCCCCATCGTTGGTGTCAGTGGGAGGAATAGTGCCCCATCGTTGGTGTCAGTGGGAGGAATAGTGCCCCATCGTTGGTGTCAGTGGGAGGAATAGTGCCCCATCGTTGGTGTCAGTGGGGAGGAATAGTGCCCCATCGTTGGTGTCAGTGGGAGGAATAGTGCCCCATCGTTGGTGTCAGTGGGAGGAATAGTGCCCCATCGTTGGTGTCAGTGGGAGGAATAGTGCCCCATCGTTGGTGTCAGTGGGAGGAATAGTGCCCATCGTTGGTGTCAGTGGGAGGAATAGTGCCCATCGTTGGTGGTGTCAGTGGGAGGAATAGTGCCCCATCGTTGGTATCCGTGGGGAGGAATAGTGCCCCATCGTTGGTATCAGTGGGAGGAATAGTGTCCCATCGTTTGGTGTCAGTGGGAGGAATAGTGCCCCATCGTTGGAGTCAGTGGGAGGAAATAGTGCCCCATCGTTGGTGTCAGTGGGAGGAGTAGTGCCCCATCGTTGGTGTCAGTGGGGGAGTAGTGCCCCATCGTTGGTGTCAGTGGGGGGAGTAGTGCTCCATCACTGGTGTCAGTGGGGGGAGTAGTGCCCCATCACTGGTGTCAGTGGGAGGAGTAGTGCTCCATCACTGGTGTCAGTGGGAGGAATAGTGCCACATCATTGGTGTCAGTGGAGGAATATGCCCCATCATTGGTGTCAGAGGGAGGAGTAGTGCCCCATCATTGGTGTCAGTGGGGGGAGTATAGTGCCCCATCATTGGTGTCAGTGGGGGAGTAGTGCTCCATCACTGGTGTCAGTGGGAGGAGAGTAGTGCCCCATCACTGGTGTCAGTGGGAGGAGTAGTGCCCCATCACTGGTGTCAGTGGGAGGAGTAGTGCCCATCACTGGTGTCAGAGGGAGGAATAGTGCCACATCATTGGTGTCAGTGGGAGGAATAGTGCCCCATCATTGGTGTCAGTGGGGGGAGAGTAGTGCCCCATCATTCATTGGTGTCAGTGTGGGGGAGTAGTGCCCCATCATTGGTGTCAGTGGGGGGGAATAGTGCCCCATCACTGGTGTCAGTGGGGGGAGTAGTGCCCCATCATTGGTGTCAGTGGGAGAATAGTGCCCCATCACTGGTGTCAGTTGGGGGAGTAGTGCCCCATCACTGGTGTCAGTGGGAGGAATAGTGCCACATCATTGGTGTCAGTGGGTAGGAATAGTGCCCCATCATTGATGTCAGTGTGGTGGAGGGGAGAATAGTGCCCCATCATTGGGGTCAGGGGGGGGGGGGAATAGTGTCCCATCGTTGGGTGTCAGGGGGGGGGGGGGAATAGTGCCCCATCGTTGGTGTCAGTGGGGGGGGGGAATAGTGCCCATCGTTGGTGTCAGTGGGGGGAGGAATAGTGCCCCATCATTGATGTCAGTGTGGTGGAGGGGAGAATAGTGCCCCATCATTGGGGTCAGGGGGGGGGAAATAGTGTCCCATCGTTGGTGTCAGTGGGGGGGGGAATAGTGCCCCATCGTTGGTGTCAGTGGGGGGAGGAATAGTGCCCCCATCATTGATGTCAGTGTGGTGGAGGGGAGAATAGTGCCCCATCATTGGGGTCAGGGGGGGGGAAATAGTGCCCCATCGTTGGTGTCAGTGGGGGGAGGAATAGTGCCCCATCGTTGGTGTCAGTGGGGGAGGAATAGTGCCCCCATCGTTGTGTCAGTGGGGGGAGGAATAGTGCCCCACGTTGGTGTCAGTGGGGGGAGGAATAGTGCCCCATGTTGGTGTCAGTGGGGGGAGGAATAGTGCCCCATCGTTGGTGTCAGTGGGGGAGGAATAGTGCCACATCGTTGGTGTCAGTGGGGGGAGGAATAGTGCCACAATCGTTGGTGTCAGTGGGGGGAGGAATAGTGCCCCATCGTTGGTGTCAGTTGGGGGAGGAATAGTGCCCCATTGTTGGTGTCAGTGGGGGGAGGAATAGTGCCCCATCGTTGGTGTCAGGGGGGGAGGAATAGTGCCCCATCGTTGGTGTCAGTGGGGGGAGGAATAGTGCCCCATCGTTGGTATTAGTGACACAAATGATGGGGCACAATTCCTCCCACTGACACCAATGATACTTACTTTGCTGACCCCTGCTCCAGCCTGGGCTCGCTCTCTCACTTACCTGTCAGCTGTCTTCCTTCTCTGGCCGCTCTCCTCTTCACTCGCTCCGGCAGCTCCCTCGGTCTTCTTTGATGTACGCGCGCTGACCGCTCGGCTCCTCCTCTCCAAGCTCCACCTCCTCGCCGGTGATTGGCCGCCTGTGTGCCTCTCCTGAGCTACAGTTCCGGTGGCCAATCAGCGGCGAGGAGGCGGAGCTGCTGCGCGATCCCGAGGTGTGGCCAGGTGACAGCAGCGTATCATCCCGCCCACACATCGCCGGAGACTGCAGCGGTGTCTCGGTTCCTAAGACCATCGGAAATATGTGTTTTCCGATGGTCTTAGGCGACCCCTGGGAAATGGTCGTTCGACCCCCAAAGGGGTCGCGACCCCCAGGTTGAGAACCGCTGTTATAGAGGGATGTGAAGGTCTAGAGGACAGTATTGTGGGACGGGGGTGATGATTTGAAGGGGGGTTGTGGACTGCTGTAAATAAAGGGGATGTGTGACGTAAAGGGGGTTCTGTACACCATTGTAAAGGGGTGGAGTGATGTGCAAGGGGCTTGGGAACACTACTGTGAAAGGGAAATTGATGTGTGGGGGGGACTGAGGACACTGATGCAAGGGATTGTGATTATAGGAGGAGAGTACTGAAAAAAACATGCGGTTCAGACCTCTGCTGGAAGAAAATTTTTACTGGTCAGACCTCCATGAATTTTTGTTTTATACCCCTGCTATAAAGTATAGATGGACACATTCTTCTGCTGGGCTATTGTATTTTGACAGCCAGATAGAGATATATATATATATATATAATATATATATATATATAATCTCTATCTATTTATTTTAAATTATGGGATGTTTTGGCGGGACCAGCCACTGTGGTTGTGCAGTGTATGGCCAATGATTACGGAATTCTATGGCTCGTTTTAATAATAGCCCAGTGTGTTAAGATTGAATGACTAAGAAGCATGCTTTCTACAGCGCACACGCTTTATGTTCTGCAGTAATAGATGGTCAGTGACCTGTTTACTGAGGTGGCCATTAACAGAATGTTTAAATGAATACAAATTTCATGATCCAGTGATGGACACATTTTTAAAAGCTGGAAGGCTTCTGTTTTGATGTATTCAGTAGATGGAAATACTATGTTGCTCCTGGTCATTCAGAGAGCTGGAAAACCTCAATCATAAATGCTGAAAAATGTGCTTATCCATCATGCAGACTGTGCTGAATGTTTTTCCTTTCTAATGGCTGAGTTGAGACTACTGAGTTGTGTTTTATTACTTAAAGTAATTAGATTGACATAGAATTTAATTTAAGCTATTTTTTTGTAATCCTAGTAGATTTATGTATTTATAGAATCCCTGTTAAGCTTTTAATCTGAAGTGACGTAAAGCCCTGTGAAATATTGCAGATTATAGTGGTGATGGTCAGCTTGGTAAACATAGTGGGTCCCCAGAGATGTCCAGATGGATGAACAATAACGTGGTTATTATAGTTATTTATTTATTAGGATGGTATTAATATGATAAGCATGTTCTGTGTATTCTGCTCTAATTTGAAAAAATGGTACTCTTCACAGAGCTGTGTGGTTTTTTGTTTTTTTTTTCCCCTCCAAGAACAATAGATTGGGTAGGCTATCCAACATATTCTGATTTACTATTCTCCCCCAATCCCCACTCAAAATTAGCAGTATCTGCCTGCATTGCACCATTGCATCTTATGCTCTCACCCTCATTTTTTCCTCTATTGAAATGTGCTTGCTAGGTTTGCAGAACCGACCCATTTTTGGCACACACTGCAGCGCCTAAGTGGTTTTGTTTTAACTGCACATCTGACCACCCTCCAATGGCTATAACTAATCTTGTCTATGGAGTTTGCATGATGACAAGCACTATGAAGCAATGGGAATGGGTAGCATTGGCTGCAAACATTTTTGCAATCTATTGGAAGTTTCCATCTGATCATTCTTAAAGTGTAAACTTGACAAGAACTTTACATGTCTAGAGAAGAACATGTGGCCTTGGTGACCATCACTGTCAAAACTGAGTTTTTAGATCTTTCATCATAGCTAAACAGGTATGACCATAAAGCCAGCTCATACTGTCAACATCTATTCAGATATTTTTGCAAACAAGAGTTTTATCTATTTAATTTGCTATAGGTTTACCTTGTTGCCTCTTCATAGATAGTCCATGCAGTACCCAGGAATATTTATTATTTAGCTTCAAAAGAACCCTAGTCCTCAGTTTAAAACATTGTAAAGAGAATCTATCATGAGAGGTTAATGGAAGCAGCCATTGCTGTAATTGTCTTTTGAAATGCTAGTTCCCCCTGGTTGTCGTTTCTGTTCCTTTTGGACTCAAAACGAGTATAAAGATTAGTAGTTGTGACCTTCATTTAAAGCATGCTTTTTCTGGACCTGTGACTAAAAAATACTGAGGTCAGAAACAGCCAGGCATCTAGCATTTTCAGAACGCGGCAAGCAATGACCGACCCCCAACTTTATTTCATAACCGAATGATGTTAACATTGATGATGGGGTTGTAACTTGAGCCTAGCTGGTTAGATGAGTTTTCCACCTGCCTCTGAAGAGCTTGAGCAGTTGGTAAGAAACCAAACTGTTAATTTTATTAGTTTTATTATGAGGTTTTATGGACTATAATTTAATCAGTGGGAGTGATGGGTTGCTAGATGACCCAAGGCTGCAGAATAACAAATGGGTTCAGTTTGTTAGATCTTGTTATAGTATGGATTTCTACACATAATTGTTCCTTTTTATAATATTGTATTCAGTAAGTCCATTGTGTTGCATTGAATATAGAATGACCTAGATTTATTTTATTTATTTTTGCTTAGGCATTGTTGAAGATGGACTGCCAAGGTTTGGTGGTCCGCCTGATTCAGGATTTTGTCTTGCTTACTACAGCGGTTGAGGTTGCTCAGCGTTGGAGAGAGTTGGCAGAGAAACTAGCTAAAGTGTCCAAACAGCAAATGGATGGCTATGAAGCACCACATCGGGACAAGAATGGAGTTCTTGATAGTGAAGTAAGAGGAATCTGAGTCGCTAGACCTAAATGTACACAAACTGAAGGAGCGTTTTCATCCCATTTACACCCAACTGCCTTCCGATCTAATCATCTAGATGGAAGGGGAATTGATCCTTTTTTTTTGTTTGTTTTTATTGGAGTGTCCGATCGGGTCCACCTGAAAAATGGACATGCAGATCCGATTAGACTGCTAATGTGAAAGGGGCCTCAGGCAAACCTGTTGCTTTCACACAAATGGGAAGGCTGGGTGGAGTGGGGGGGGGGGGGGGTGGAGTTGGCAGGAGCACAGGTTTGCCTTATGATTTAGTGATGTCACTCCTAGCAAAAAGAAAAGCTAAGAACTGGTCTAGCAAAAGGTTTGTGCCTACTGGATTTAAGAGTTAACAAATTAGTTTCCAGTTTAAAACTTAATTTGTATGTACTGTGATGCATATTGTTTGTAGTCAGTATTTAGTCACTAAAGTGATCATTAATAATCTTGAATTATTCATTATGACCCCAGGACTATTTGTTTACACTACAAATACAGTGCTTTTTTGTGATTGCTGTTGACTTGGTACACATGCTTCTTGTAAAGACTGAGCTAGCCTTTTGATGGCTGTTTAAAGGATTAGATTATGCTTAAAAAAAATGTTTTGAATCTACCATTTAAACCACAAGGGCTACTAAAGTACTTCTGTAGTAAGTACTACTACATATGATGTTTTTATTAGAGTTTAGAAACCATGTTGAGCCCAAAAAGTGCAAAGTGGCGGTGTCTGCACATAACCATCCTCACCAGAGTTTTATACTTGCTGGGCCATGCCTATTTACTGCTGCAGCGTCGCACCTTGTCTAAGCTCTTGTATCAGAGCTAGGAAAAGGTAGATGACCTCCTGGTGACGTGTTTGGGCATGGTGATTGGCAACTCATACCTGCTCCCTCATATCCAGAAAGTCCACTTTGTGATAGTTCTGGCAGTGCAGGGAGTTGGTAAGGCATTTAAGTAGATATAGAAAACTTAAATTTGCTCCTAAAATTGCCCAACTGTCATGTGGATACTGTGGCCTTGAAACCTTTTGTGTGACTAAGCAGGAACAAGTATGCAGTAAAATTGCAGATCTTGGTCAACCTATTTGTCCCGGGTCCGTGATTTAGAAAGTATTGAAATGGCTGTATCAGCAGACACCAGTCAGAGCTAGTATTTTTTCAGAAAGAGGTAATCATATCTTAGGAAAGCGGGTGGTCCATTGTATGACCACTCCTAACATTTTCTGATTTCATCCACGATACAACAAAATATTAGTCTTAAACTCATGGAGGAGCCAAACAAATTGCAAGTGTGTTTCCTGAATTTGGTAAATTGTGACCACTGTAGATGTTATTTGTGCTTGGTGGAGGTTTAATCTTAATTGTACAGTACATTAATAGACCCTGGGTTATAGACTGGTGCCTTCAGGTGACTGGACTCTGGCAAGCTGTTTAGAAAACACAGAGGACTCCTGGATTGGGGGTAGGGTTATAGGGGGACTATAAGGCATGTTCCAGTGTCCTAAGGTCAATGGCCTCTTCACCCTTATGGAGAAATCACTCTTGGCTTAACTAGTTTTATTATAGTTTCTTGAATTGGCTCCTCAGTCTTCTAATACAGTAGAAGCAGTGCATCCAGATTGGTGCAACCTCATTAAAACCTTGGGAGCTATATCCAGACCCTACACTGTGGGCACGGCCTGTAATTTTTACTTTTGGCAATGGATTCTGTGTGGGGCTCTCCTCATCATTTTGTCAACTGTGTGTCGTTAGTAGCAGGGTGCTGTACAGGTCCAGGGCCAATTTTTAAGGCGTGTGTGTCTTTAGGTTCTAAAAAGTTTGTAAAATCTATTTTTTTTTTCTTTATTTTGCAGGCTATGTGGAAACCAGCCTATGACTTTCTTCTGACATGGAGTGCCCAGATTGGGGACAGTTACAGAGATGTCATCCAGGAGCTCCACACAGGACTGGACAAAATGCGCAGTCCTATCACAAAGAGATGGAAACATCTTACAGGAACACTAATTCTTGTAAATTCTCTGGACACACTTCGATCAGCAGCCTTCAGCACCCAGGAACAGGAGGACTTTGTTATCTAATCATCTCTAAGAGGAAGGATTTTTCTTAAGACTTATTTTAACACATTGTTCTTAGAGATCCATTCTGCCTGAAGAAGAACATATCATGGGGCATAATGGAATTTCAGTTTTGTTTCTTGCATACAATTTTAAATGTCCTCCAATTCTTCAGAGAGGTCATGTATATTAGTGATACATTACTCCTGCATTCTCAGGGGTTATTTGAACCTTGAGCTGCATTTTAAAAGCTGTACATACAGATCATGATGTTTATGCACTGGATGGCCATAGATTTAAGGCACCAGTTCTCTCCTGTCTGTTCTGATTGTGGGATGTGTGTACAATGTAAATATGGAGGGATGAATCACAGGCATAGGCCAGAGACTTGGTTGACAGTTTTTTTTGTCTCTTTTGGATTCCTGTATGAGCACAAATGCATTTTACACTTTTTTTTTTTTTTTTTTCGTTCCTACACTTTTATGTGTGTAATCACTGCCCCTCCTGGGTCATCTGTGCTTTATATGTCACACCCTGTGTGAAAACTTTTATATCACGTTATCTGATGTTTTTGTTACCATGTGTTATTTATCTTTGGCTAAAATGTGGAGCTGTGTATATATGTAGGTAAATCAGAGAGGTCCCGCTCCAGACTTTATATGGACAACATCTATGAGACAATCTGATGTTACATGTGCCTGTTAAAGCAATAAATGAAGATTAGTGTGCTTAACATTTCCTAATGACAGTCCTAATGGCAGGACAAACACTTACCCCAATGTCTTACAGTACAGTTTAACTGGTTGTGCTGACCTAGCTTGGAAGTTCTAAGATCTTCTGCCTGGTGTGTTGGGTCAGATGATTTTAATTTAAATGGTCCTCAGGTCCCAATGTTAGTATTTTTGTGCCTTATACCTGTTGTATTAATGCAGGCCAAGCCCTGCTACCTTGGCGGGCCTACCAATCCTGCTTGCATCACAAATGACATGTCTTTCATCAAGAGAGGATGACTTGTACAATGAGGTTGGATACAGTTTCCTAGTATCTAGTGACTGTCGGGGGACTAGTAGAAGCAGAGGACAGGAACAAGGCAGACATACCTTATTTTCTATTTTTGTTTTATTTCTGACAGATTGCTAACTACCTCGCATTGATTTTAACACAAGTCTAATAAAAGTCTAAGGTATAAAAAAAAACTCTATTCCTGCTCTTTTTTTATGGTGGAGGCTGGGGGGAGTAGGTTATTGCCTGGAATCTGGAAATCCAAGGCTGCAAAAGTTTTTTGGGTTTTTTTTGTTTTTTTTCTCTAATGTAGATGGTTGTTGTAATTGATTTGTATTTACTGTCTAAAGATGTGTAAAGATCCTGTTGTGCAGTGGACATGGTTGATTAAAGACCAGTGACGAGAAATAGACAAAATCTACCCTTACATTGGGCCCCCCCACACTCCAAGGGTTAAATGCTCATTATGTCTAGAGGTGCATGAACAGATGGTATTACTTACCCTTGCCCCAGCTGCAGCACTGTCTTCTTCTTCACCAGGCTCCAGTCTGTGGGTGGTATCTCTGCATCATCAGGAACATTGCAGGGCTATTAACCCTGCATTGTAGGTGGAAGAGGCAGGAGTGTTATCTGAAGTGTCATTTGAGTGACAGCTGAGTCTGCTGGAGATGCTGGCATCCCATGCTGTCCATTTGCAGTCTGAGCGCTTTTAGATGCCTTAAAATGGAGGCTTTTACAAGTAAATTAAATGCATTCAATTTATATATAATCACATGGAAAGATTTTTCTTAAACTGAGGACTTGGCATCACTTTTACTGCCAGGTTTATATGTCATGCAGACCTGACACTGTGGGGGGGTGGGGGGAGTTTTCACACAATCTGATGGCTGCAGTCACTGGGATTGTGTGTAAAACTGACAAACAGACTCTTGCCTGTCAGTTGGAAGCATTTGGGTGCCTGCTCTGCCGCCCGATTGCCTACACACACCCCCGGTAATGGCGACACCCCGCCATGTATTTCAGGCTCCAATTTCCCATCTGTGGGCCTGGGACCGTAATTGCGGGTGCCGCTGGGTAGATGGGAGGGAGGAGAGCAGAGACACGTCAACGCTTCTCCCCTTGTTGGTTACCTGGAAAGCGACATATATGTCACTTGAGGGTTATCCTATCACTTTCCCCCCGGCTAGCATAGCTGGGAAGGAATGTATAGCTATGCGATCTGCATCGCAATACATTCAGTGGAGTACAGAGGAGACGGGCAGGGTCCCTAGACCCTGCATATCTCATTAAAGAGAACCTGTCACCTAAAAATCATCACATAGGGAACTTGAATTGCAAAAAATGTAAGTTACACCCAAGCACATAAAATCCCCCCCCCCCCCCCCTCAAAAAAAAATGGAGTTCCCCCTACCCCCACATGTATGCATGCACGTATGAACATAAACGTGCAGCGGGGGGCGCCTATGCAAGAAAACATTGGTTGCGATACACGTTACATATCACCGTACTTGCCGGAGTGAGAGCAATAATTCTAGCACATGACCTCCTCTGTAACACTAAACTGATGATCTATAGGGGGCTTTTGAAGCATCGCCTATAAAAAAAATTTATAGGGTACTGAAGTTTATCGCCATTTCACGGGCACATGCAAATTGTAAGATTTGACGTGCTGGGTATCTATTTACTTGGTGCAACCTCATCTTTATATTTTAACAAAAAGGTGGGTAATTTACTGCATTTGTTTGCCCTGAAATTCACTTTACTGTATATCGTCAGAGCCCTGATTATCAGTGTAGCCCCATCAATGCTGCCTCTCCGTGCCCATCAGTGATGCCTGTCAATGCTGCCTCATCAGTGCAGTCTATTAGTACCCATCATTGCCGCCTATCAGTGCCCATAACAGCCAGATGGCATTGATAGGCATTACTGATCGGCACTATCAGTACAGCCTCATCAGTGTACATCAGTGAAGGAGAAAAATGTACTTATTTACCAAATTTTATAACAAAAACGAAAACTTTTTTTTTCTCAAATTTTTGGTCTTTTTTTTTTTTTTTTGTTTAGCAACAAATAAAAGAAAACCCAGTGGTGATTAAATACCACCAAAAGTAATTTGTATGTCTGAAATAATACAAATTTTGTTTGGGTACAGTGTTGCTTGACTGCGCAATAGTCATTCAAAGTGTGACAGTGCTGCAAGTGGTTAATGCACCTTCCACATCAGTACATTGCTTTCCTTTGCATCCTCGCTGCTGGGAGTGAGGAAAGGACTTCTAAATATGGAGGATCATGCAACTTACTTCCCTTCCACTCGTGATGGTGCTTGGTGATTATCCCAACGCTGTCACGTCTTCAACCCCAACCAGAGCAACTTGGAGTTTTCACAGGATTTCCCTTACTTGCTCCTGGTGGGGGAAACTAAGGGAAGGCAAGTATGTGCTGCTGCTTTGGGCATATTAAAATGAGCCTGCTGCTATGCCCTGCCTGGCATTGAGGTGTCATGGTGATCTTCGGCTATGTCTAATTCAATGGTCTACAAAGAACAGCCCACGGACCGAATCTGTTCCACTTCAAGATATTATCCAGCCAACTGCTAAGATCCATGGCCTCTCACACATGTCTCGCACGGGTCTACAAGTCAGCTATAGTCTCTGTTTCTCCCCAATGTTCACAACCCCCAACCCCTCCAGTGACCAGCACAGGTTTTCCCAACTGTGCTGTCATTGTAGTGGCGTTGGTTGCTAGAACTACCAATCTCCTAACAACCAATCGTGCTTATCCTAGCATTCACAAAAGGACAGCACTTCCTCTGTCCAGACGTGCTCTACAGCTATGCTCCTAGGTTCTCAGCCATGCTGTGAGGGTGGACTCTGATGGGTACCCTGATATAAGGGGGATTGTGAAGAAGCACCCTGATGTAAGGGGGGACCCTGACCGGCTCAAATATATTTGGAATTTCTTTGTGATGTCTGACGGTTTTTCTGAATCATAAAATGCTGATTACAAAAAAAAGTGCTTATCACTTGAACATTCTCCGGAGAACGTGGCTGCAGCCTTGATTCCAGTACCAAAATTTTCTCTTTGCTTCTGTGCCCTGTAGAATTGATTGGGCATCTGTAAAGCAGGGAACTGCTGCTGCCTTCCACCTTTACTGGGCTTTCCTGTGTGATCAGGGAGCCTGGGACCTCTGCCATTTTCTACAGTAGTGAACTGAGAAGGGAGCAAGATACATCCATACCTGCCTCCCCTGTGTGTTGTAAGGAACTGGAAGTGACAAGGATTTTGTCACTTATGGTCTTGGTTTGATGTTTACAAGCCTTCACCTCCTTGTAAAGCATCTAATCAAACCGATCTCAGTTGATTAGATGCTTTTCAGAGCAGATGAGAGATCTGGTGTCTAATAAATCTCTCAGTAAAGCAGACCTGTCACTGCCCATGCTATCACAGGGGATATTGTTCATCCTTTGTAATAGCAAGTTGATTGAAAAAAAATTTAAGGGCACAGTAAAAAAAAAAAAAATTACCCATATACCCCCGTGTTCACACAACAACTGCATACACACAGTGCTCAGCATAAATTAGTACACCCCCTTTTTGAGAAGTAAGATTTTAATCAATATCTCAATGAACACACGAACAATTTAAACATTTTTGACTAAACTGAGTTTTATAGAACATTGGTTTAGCTCATTACATGCAAGTAAGGTTAATAATATACACGATATTGCCAAAAGTATTTGGACGCCTGCCTTTACATGCACATGAACTTTAATGACATCCCAGTCTTGGTCCCTAGGATCCAATATTGAGTTGGCCCACCCGTTAAAGCTATAACAGCTTCAGCTCTTCTAGGAAGGCTGTCCCCAAGGTTTAGGAGTGTGTCTATGGGAATGTTTGACCATTCTTCTAGATGGAAGAGAAGGCCTGGCCCACAGTCTCTTCTCTAATTCATCCCAAAGGTGTTCTATCTGGTTGAGGTCAGGACTTTGTGCAGTCCATATCTAGACCCTGCTTTGTGCACT